GAAGAAGCAAGGAGGAGGTGATGGCTAAGAGTGCAGATAACGCGAGTGATAGAAGATACCTCGTTCTTTGAGAATAGACTCCTTATAACAGAATTCCGTTGCATCAGGCCCACTGGCCTCTGACAGGGCAGGTATAACCGCCACTGTCAGCCTGCCGCAGCCGTTACAGACAAGGCTAAGGTGGCACGTGCGGGGCCATCATTGCAGGGTACGTGCCTGTCAGGTGTAAGGCACCTTCTAAAGGTGGCAGGCACGACGCTGTCTAACGAGGGACATGGCTGTTGTCCCCAGATTTGTCGGGTACGGTGGTCGGACAGGAGATCTTCCTGTGATATGCCGGACTACTCTTTCACGAGTTACCCTGTGTCGGGCTATCCCGTAAGCGGCGAGCTGCCTGTGGCAAGCTATGCCGAGCTGTCTGACCCGAGGTGTCTTCACCTCGGGGCATCTAGAGGCAGGTCGGTGTGTTCCTGTCTGGGAGTGGCCTGAGATCCACTGGTAGGGCTTGGATATTAGGAGAGGTCAGGGGTTCCCGAGCTCGGAGGCAGCTCGGGGTGCCTTAGGCCCGGGGAGGAGATGCGGGCTAGGCGGCTCCCGACGAGTAGTCTATCCCACCGAGTTGCCGGACTGAACTCGATGTGACTTTCCCATCGAGTTGCGGCTATGTTTGTTGTGCTATCACGCTGAGTCATCGCTTGAACAAGGTCACGCCCACGTGTACCCGTGCTACGAGGTCAGGCCAAATCACCCTCCATCAAAAAGCATTTAAATTGATAATTTGGAAAACATAATTTAAATTGTTAGTACATAATTTTATGATATATTTTGTAAAAATATAAAATTATTTTTTGTGTTTTAGTAAATATTTTAAAGTTACTATATAATTTTGTTAGAATATTTAAATAATTCTTCAACTTTTTAATCCAAACTTTCTTTAGATAGATATAGATAAAAAGTAGGGAAGAGTATAAATAGGAATTAGAGATAATTTAGGAGAGAAACKCTCTACTAAATTAGTGATAGTTGTGGAGATAAATAAGAATTAGAGATAATTTAGAAGATAAATAGGAATTTGAGATAATTATGAGAAAGTGGGGGAGGTAGTTTAGGATAAATTTTAGGAGAAGAGATTATATAGGCTATTGGGAATGTGTATCTCATTGGTTGTTTAAAAAAATGACATGGAATAAAAAAACAAAAAAGGAGAAAATTTCTTATCTGCTTTGTTTTAATATATATAGATAGATAGAGAGAGAGAGAGAGAGAGACTAACGGGCACGGGATTTGTTAAGTTAAAGATAAATAATAGAAACATGTAAGAGTATAAAATTGTTTTATATAATAATTAATAATCATTTATATTTTATATACTACTCTTAATAATTTTTTTTACAAAAAAAATAACAATAATTAAGTTTAAATTGGGTTGTTTATCAAACTTAGGGATGACAATTTTCCCCATTTCCTCAATCCCCGTGGGGATGTGCCCCGAATGGGGTAGGGATAGGGATGATTTCCCCCCGTGGGGACGGAGATGGGGAAATTTTCATCCATGCTGGTGGAGATGGCACGGGGATGGGGAGAGCATTCCCTGCCCCGCAGGGACCCCGATCCCCATCCCATGGGATTCTCGCTAATATATGTATATACACATACATTTATATATGTATATATGTATACATACATCTATATGTTAATACTTTTAAAAAAATAGTGTTATTAAATAATACTAAGTTAATAATGTTAATGAATACTACTAAGAATTAAATAAATAGTGTTAGTTAAAATGATTAATTAAAAACCAGAATTAATAATAAATATTTATTGAAATATCGCAATTACATAAATACTGTAATTATTGAAATAAATACTATAGTTATTGATAAATACTGTAATCGAATAACAGTAATTTAATACTGTAGTTAAATAAATAATATTAGCTAAAAGAAATACTATAGCGCAGTGTTAATTAATAAATATTGATATTAAAAAGATACTATAATTATTAAAAATACCATAATAAAATATGCAAACACATTAATTAAATAAATGCCATAGTTTTATGGATTTACTAAAATGGTATGTATTTAATTACAGTATTTATTAATTACAATATTATGATGTAAACACCATAATTTCATGGATTTAAATACCGTTTATGTATTTATTAATGGGTATACCATTTAATACCAAATTTATTAAGGGGTATACCATAGTAAATACCATTTATCACCATAATGTTGAAATAATTACTATAATTATTAAAAATATCGCAATTAAATAACAATAATTTAATACTGTGGTCAAATAAATACTGATAGCTAAAAGAAATACTTTACTTTAATAAATACTGTTATTAAAAAATTAATTAAATACCAGAATTAATGATAAAAACCTTAATAACTGTTAAATACTGTTAACAAATATTGATATTTGTTTTATTAAAAAGATACCATAATTAAATAAATATTTTAATTAATAAGTACCTTAATTAAATAAAAACTATTAAATTTTACTGCTATTTAAATAAATACCATAATCAAATTAAAAATATACAGTATTTAAAATAATGTTAACGAATACTGTTAATTAATTAAATAAATACCGTTAGTTGAAATAAATACTATAATTATTGAAAAATACTATAAATTAAATAACAGTAACTTAAAACCAAAAATAAATCAATACTGTTAGTAATTTAATAAAAAATAACATAGTTAAATTAATAAAACTATACCACAATTAATAGTAATTTAACAACATAATTAAATACCATCATTAAATAAATAAATACCATACAATTAAATAAATAAATAAATACCATATAATTAAATAATTAATAAATGCCGTAATTAAATAAATACCATAGTTAAATAAATAAATACTTATTTAATTATATGAGTTAATTAAATATTCAGGACCCATGTGATGAAAATATTTGAAAATACCATAGTTAAATTAAATATATACTGTATTTAAAATAATGTTAACGAATATTGTTAATGAATTAAATAAATACTGTAATTAATGAAAAATACTATAATTAAATAACAGGAATTTTATACTGTATTTATTTAAATAAATACTGTTAGCTAAGAGAAATACTTTATTTTAATAAATACTGTTATTAAAAATTAATTAAATACCAGAATTAATGATAAATACCTTAATTACTGTTGAATACTGTTAAAAAATACTGCTATTTATTTAATTAAAAAGATTCCATAGTTAAATAAATATTGTAATTTATAAATACCGTAATTAAACAAGTACCATAGTTTCATGGTACGAACACCATAATTTCCTGGATTTAAATACCATTTTAGTATTTATTAAGGGGTATACCATTTAATACCGTAATGTTAAATAAATACCATATTTATTAACGGGTATACTATATTAAATATTAATTAATACGGTAATGTTAAATAAATACCATTTTTATTAAGGGGTGTACCATGCTAAATACCATTTAATACCGTAATGTTAAATAAATACCATATTTAATACCAAAATTATTGTTATTTAATTGCATTACATACGCAACCCATACCCGGATTGGCACACGACCCATACCCAAATATTAACATCTTGACCTTCACCCGAATAACATCTACTGTGTTCGCTCGACAGTAGACTGAAACCCGGCTTAAACAAACGAAAAAATACACAGAAGATGTAGAGTTAATCAGAGAAGCAGTGGAGAACCAAAAAAAAGAGAATAGAGTAGACTGAAGATGGCAGAGCATACTTGTGGAAAGATGGCAGCGGGAGTTTGAGCGAACACAATAGACTGAAACCTGATTTAAACAATCGAAAAAAAACCACAAAAGATGGCAGATCCAATCAGAGAAGTAGCGGAGAACGAAAAAAAAAATAGAACAGAGTAGACTGAAGATGGCAGAGCATACCTGTGGAAAGATGGCAGCGGGAGTTCGAGCGAACACAGTAGACTGAAATCTGAATTAAACAAACTAAGAAAAAAAACACAGAAGATAGAAGAGCCAATCAAAGAAGCAGCGTAGAACGAAAAAAAGAGTAGACTGAAGATGGCAGAGCATACCTGTGGAAAGATGGCAGCGGGAGTTCGAGCGACTTAAACAAACGAAGAAAAACCACAGAAGATGGCAGAGTCAATCAGAGAAGCAGCAGAGAACGAAAACAAGAAGATGGGAAGAAGCCTACTCTGTGAAGAGTCTAAAAAATGAAATAAATAACAGAGCACTCCCCTGCCTCATCACCTAAAAGAGGAGACTTTTCGTGGGAAGAGAGAGAGAGAGAGAGAGAGAGGAATTCAGGAGAGAAGATTTCACCTTCTTTTACCTCTCGACACTGAACCAGCGGTGGCGATCGTTTTAATCCTCTTCAGGCCTTTCTCTCCTCTCTCTTTTTCTCTCCCTCTCTCTCTCTCTCTCTCTCTCTATCTATCTTCTTCTTTCTTCCCTTTTCTTCTTCTCCCTTTCCTTGCTCTCTTCTTTTTCCCTGACTGGCATCACTTTCAGTTCCCTTTATCCTTTCGGTTCCCAAAATTAGTCATAGGTCCCCTGTTCTCCATCGTCACCGGTCGACCAGGATCATTAACAGCAACAACCACAGTCATTCCTCTCTCCATTTTAAATCAGATTTACCCCTTATAGATTTACCCTGACAAGTAGGTTTTATTATTCCTAAATCTTTCTTTGTTAGTTTTCTTTCTGTTTTTTTTTTTCTTTGTTTTCTCGATCATTTTGCCATCGGACAATCGGTAATAACTGGTTGCCCGAATTGGAGGTGAGGCATCTACAAAACTAATTTCCTAGAGGTCGACACCAATCCGCAGTCCTGTCATTTATTATTTCCCTATTTTGATTTATTTTATTGTTAATTGTTGGAATTCATCTTTCTATCATGAAATATTATATTGGTTCATAAATTTATGAGAATAATTAATCATTTCTTTTTTACTTTCTTGTGTTTTTGGTGTGTGATAATCATACTATGATGTTACTACCTATTTCGCACTGTATGGTTTTTCCTATCTTTGTAGTTGATTTGAACAAGAAAGTTGATTTAATATCTAACTATTCTACTTCTTGAAATTAAAACTGAAGAGATCTCGATCGAATTTACTGAGTTATTGGGTAGTAGGGAGATGTGGTTGGAGGTGCCTATCGGGTTTATATTCTTAGTCACCGGAGAGTCATTCGTCTTAGATGAAATATTTGTAAATAAAATTAATTCAATGAATAAGGGGAAGGTGAGAGCAAAGATGACAAGAGGGAACAAATGACAAGGTATGAAAATAAAAAAAAGGAATAAAACAAAAAAAAAAGTAAATAAATGTTAAGTGTGGGTCCAGTCCATATGGAGGGGCCCACTCCACCTTCATTTGCTCCCTAAAGAAAAGGGAGAAAAGGGAGCCGAATAGTGGTAAAGTGGTTACTACATTGTCGGTTTTGTTTTCTTTTTTTTTTTGAGTGGCGTCAAACTAGTAACCACCGAACAGAGAAGAACGAAGAAGAAGAAAAAAAAATACAGAACCAAAAAGAAAGTTTTTTTCTTGTTCTTTGAGTTTTGTGAAGAAGAGGAAAAATCTGGCTCTTGTTCCATTCAAGATCAAGTTCGGAAGTGTCTTTCAAGCCTGTTCTTGATGATATTAAGTGCTGGAGTTAAGAATCCCACTCCAGTTCAGATTTGGTGATTCTTCTTCCTTTCTCTACTTCTCAATTCAGATTTACAACAACTTGGTGAGATCTAAACTTATGTTTGTGTTGTATCCACCTTGCATTTGGTGATGTTAATGCTGTTCTTTTGAGCCAAGGATTATTTATTTGATGTTTGTAAGCCTCTAGTTGCAACTAGATAAGATTATTGTACCCATAATTTTTGAATTAGTGGAAGACTTTTATGGACCATAGGTCCCGTGGTTTTTCCCCGATTTTGGGGTTTTTCACGTAAAATTTCCAGTGTGCTATTGTGTGGTGATTGTTATCTGTTTTTCTGTTACTTGGCTGAATTGTTTACTTGTTATTATCGTTGTTGGCAAACCCATTTTGACACAATTAATTTGGGGGAAAGGTTCTTGCTGTCCTGTGATTGGTTTTACATTCATTTCTACTACTATAGTGTAACTTACCCAACAGTGGTATCAGAGCCAGGTTGGCTAAAATTAATTGTTTGTGTTGATACAAATGGAGGAATCCTCGGGTGTTATGATAAAATTGACTTCATTGAATTATGCCATTTGTAAACCCAGAATGGAGGACATTCTTTATTGCAAAGATTTGTACCTACCCATAAGAGGTGATGAAGTAAAGCCAAATGACAAGTCAAGTGATGAATGGGGAATCATGCATAGAGGCCAAATCTGACAGTGGATCGACCACAGTATTTTTCACCATGTTGCACAAGAAACTAGGGCTGATGTTTTATGGAAAAAATTAGTCTATATATGAAAGGAAAACAGGTTTAAAGAAGGCTGCCTTGATTAGAAAACTAGCACCCTTGAGATATAAAGATGGGACTAATATGTCTGAACATTTGAGTGATTTTCAAGCTTTGATAAATCAATTGACTACTATGAAATTGAATCTGGATGATGAAGTGCAGGCCTTATTGTTACTTAGTTCCTTGCCTGATAGTTGAGAAACCTTGGTGGTTTTAGTTAGTAATTCAACCCCTAATGGTATAGTAACCATTGACACAATCAAAGATGCTTTGTTGAATGAAGAGTCCAGGAGGAAAGAACAAGGGACTTATTCAGAATCTCAAGCTCTTGTAACAGAAAAGAAAGAAAGATAGGAAAGAAGTAAGAGCAGAGGTCCCTGTAACAAATATGATAAAACCAGAGGAAGGTCTAGGTTCAAAAAAATATCATTTGTCATCACTGTAATAAACCGGGATATTATAAAAATGAATAAAGAATCTGGAAAAGAGAACAAGCCAAAGGGAAAGGTGAAGGCAAGAAATAAGAAAAAGATACTACAACTGCTGCAGCCGAGGGTGATGTTGTTATTGTTTGTGATGATAATTATGTCAACTTTGCATGCCCAGATAGTGATTGGGTCATAGATTCTGGTACTTCTTTTCATGTTACTCCCCATGGTGAATTTTTCACAACTTACACTACAGGTGATCTTGGACATGTTCGTATGGGGAATGTTGGTACATCCAAGATTGTTGGCATGGGAGATATTTGTCTAGATAGCAATACTGGTTGCAAATTAATTTTGAAGAATGTTAGACATGTTCCTGATATCTGCCTAAATCCGATTTCCACTGGCAGGTTAGATGATGAAGGTTATGCAAATACCTTTAGTGATGGAAAATTGAAACTCAATCGGGGCTCACTCATTGTGGCAAAGGGAAAGAAGCACAATACCCTTTATGTGATGCAAGTAAGGTTGAGAAAAGGAGAGGTGAATGTAGTTCATGATTCATCCATTGAGCTTTGGCACCGGAGGCTTGGACATTTGAGTGAAAAAGGGATTCAGATACTTTCTAGAGAAAATCTTCTTCCTGATGTGAAAGCCTCATGTTTTAGCTGAAAAACATAGTAGAGTTGCATTTCATAAATTTCCTCCATCTAGAAAGCCTCATGTTTTAGATTTAGTTCACACTGATATTTGTTACATGAAAAATAGATCTCTTGGTGGTGCATTATATTTTGTGACATTTATTGATGACCACTCCAGAAAAGTATGGACATTTGCCTTGAAATCTAAGGATCAGGTGTTGGATGTTTTCAAGTATTTTCATGCCAAGGTTGAGAGAGAAACAAGGAATAAGTTGAAGTGCATCCGAGCTGATAATGGTGGTGAATATAGGGGTCCTTTTGAAGAATATTGTAGGATCCATGGTATCAGGCTTGAGAAAAGTGTTCCTAAGACTCATCAACACAATGGAGTAGTAGAGAGAATGAATAGAACAATTACTGACAGAATCAGATGCATGCTCTCTCATGCTAAGTTCCCCGAATCTTTTTGGGGTGAGGCTATGAGAATTGCAGTTGACCCCATCAACCTTTCTCCTTCAGTTCCTTTGAATAAAGATACTCTTAAAAGAGTTTGGACAGGAAAAGCCATATCATACAGTCATTTGAAAGTGTTTGGCTGCAGGGCATTTGTTCATATTCTTAGAGATGAAAGATCCAAGTTTGTTGACAAGGCTAAACAGTGCATCTTCTTAGGCTATGGGCACGAAGAGTTTGGGTACAGGTTATGGGATCCAGTGGACAAGAAAGTGATCAGAAGCAGAGATGTTATATTTCTTGAGGATCAAACAATTGAAGATATAGAGAAAATTGAGAAGCCAAAATTCTCTGTTGATGTTCCAATTAATTTGGATCCAGTTTTCTCACCTACAGTTGATGGTAATCACGGGGGAGCTGTACCAAATGAATAGGATGATACAGTTAGTGATGAAACTCCTATAAATGAAAATACAGAGGAAGTACAGAATGAACATGTATCTCCAATTCCTTCACTACAGGTTCAGCTTAGAAGATCAACTAGAAATAGAAGACCTTCCACTAGGTATCCTCCACATGAGTATATGATACTGACAGATGGGGGAGAGCCAGAGACTTATCAAGAGGCTATGTTACATAACAAGAAATATGAGTGGCTGAAAGCAATGCAAGAGGAATTAAAATCCTTGCATGAAAATCACACTTATGATTTGGTAAAATTACCAAAGGGGAAAAGGGCTCTAAAAAACAAATGGGTTTATAAATTGAAATATGATGAGAGTGGCTCACAACTAAAATACAAGGCAAGGCTGGTTGTTAAGGGTTTCAGTTAGAAAAAGAGTATTGGCTTTGAAGAAATATTCTCTCTTGTGGTGAAAATGTCTTCTATTCGAGTTATGTTTGGACTAGTTGCAAATCTAAATTTGGAAGTTGAACAGTTTGATGTAAAGACTGCCTTCCTTCATGGTGATTTGGAAGAAGAAATCTATATGGAGCAACTAGAGGGATTCAAAGAAAAAGGAAAAGAACATTTGGTGTGCAGATTAAAAGAAACTTGTATGGGTTGAAACAAGCACCAAGACAGTGGTACAACAAATTTGAYTCCTACATGGTTAATCATGGGTACACTAGGACCACTTCATATCATTGTGTATTTGTAAAGAAATTTTTTGATGGTGATTTCATTATTCTTTTGCTTTATATTGATGATATATTGATAGTTGGACATGATTCTAACAAGATTGACAAGTTGAAAAATGAGCTTAGCAAGTCTTTTGTAATGAAGGACTTGGGACCAGCTAGATAGATTCTTGGTATGAAAATCTCTTGAGATAGACAAAATGAGAAGTTATGGTTATCTTAAGAAAAATATATTGAGAATGTTCTTGAGAGGTTCAACATGAGCAATGCAAAACTAGTGACTACTCCACTTGCAGGTCATTTCAAGCTCAACACTAAACAATGTCCTACAAGTGAGAAAGACAAAGTTGAAATGAAGAAAGTGCCTTATGCTTCGGCAGTTGGCAGTTTAATGTATGCTATGGTGTGCACGAGGCTAGATATTGCTCATGTTGTTGGTATAGTTAGCCGATTTCTCTCTAACCCCGGTAAAGAACATTGGACAATAGTAAAATGGATATTCAGGTATATCAGAGGTACTTCTC